GACCAGGCTGGCCTTGAACTCACAGAGATCCACCTGCCTCTGCCTCCTGAGTGCTGGGATTAAAGGCATGCACCACCACGCCCGGCTTTTCTTCCTTTTTAAAAAATATTTTATCTCATGTGTATGTGTGTATTGCCTGCATGTGGGTAAGTGCACCCGTGTCGTGCAATGCCCACAGAGGACAGAAGAGGCTGTTGGATTCCCAGCGACTGGAGTCACTGACAGTTGTTAGCTGCCACGTGGCTGCTGGGATTCAAACCTGGGTCTTCTGCAAGAACAACCAGTGTTCTTAACCGCTGAGCCATCTCTCCAGCCCCTCAATCTGATACTTTAAGTCACTGAATCATTAATATTGGACACTCATATACATTAAAAAAAATTTTTTTTTGGTCCCAATTTAGGCTGAGTTAATGGTGAAATTTTGTCTCAATAATAAGGCATAATAATTATTTTTATTTTGAGATAGGGTCTTGCGTAGCACAGTATGGGGCCTTTGCATTCTAAAGAGGAACTGTACCACTGAGCTATTCTCCAGCTCTACTGACCCATTGCTATAATCTCCAATTTTTTATTACTAGTTTTCTTTTCCTACCAGGTGAACACACAGGACTTCAGAGGGCTGGTTCGGGAAGATGCTGTTCTTTACCTCTTAGAAATCCCCAAAGGTGAAACCGTGACCATTTTGGCTCAGAGCCGAGCGGATGGTGAGCAGATTTTATCATCTCGTTTACTTGAGGGAAGTCAGGAGGAGGAAAGAGGTATTTTAGAACCAGAATAGGCAATATTGGGTCATGGGTCGAAGGAGAAAGTTTGGGTGCTGTTCACTTCATATCCAAATGCTTTTCGTGCACAAATGTTTATGTGTCAATTTGGAGTTTAATTGCTTTTCTGAACAATGGTAAATCCTTGGGATGGAGTTCTGGGGGAGATGTTGTTGAGTCCACACATGACATATCAGCTCCTCTTAACGCTCACAGTCTGACAGGTTGCTTTGCTTTTAGGCCCCCTCTCACCTGTAAAGTTGGGCTGAGAACAGTCCCTTCTTGTGTCCGAGGGTTATCAGTGGTATTAGTCAGGGTTCTCCAGAGAAACAGAACCAAGAGGAGATAAAGAGGCAGTTTGTTGAGGATTGGCTGACCCTGAGTATATGGGCTGACAAGTCCCAAGTTGGGCAGGATGAAAGGGGAAGCTGCAGACACAGCAGAACGGCAGAACCAGTGATTGAGTTCTGCTCCTAGTCTGAAGGTCTGAGATGTCAGAGAAAAGCAGGAGAAAAGCTGGTGTCCCCGCTGGGAGGCCATCAAGTAAGATGAGTCATTCCCTCTGACCTGCCAGTGACTCTCTTTTTTTAAATTTTATTCAGGCTTTCCACTGATTAGATGAGGCCCTACCATTATCTGGGGGGTGCAGTCTGCTTTACTTAGTCTACGCATTTGATTTAATTAATTTAATTTCATTCTCCCAACACCCACTATGTCTCCCCAGAAACTCCAAGAATAACGTTTGAACAGTTGTCTAGGCATCCCAAATGCATCAGATTGACACGTAAAATCAACCAGCACAGCATCCCAGGAAGTCTTCTTGATGGAGCTGTGATACTCATAAAACCCATGTATTGGGCCACTGAAAGTGGGGACGGGGAAGGGAGTGTTCAGAGACTGGAGAAGGTGGTGACAACCCAGCAAGCAGTGCTTTTGTCTCCCAGTGTACAGAGACATCCTGGCTTGTGGCAGGGGAGATTCGTTTTTCATAAGAAGCCACTTTGAATGTGAGAAGGAAACTCCACAGAGTCTGGCCTTCACCAGGGGAGAGGTCTTCCGTGTGGTGGACACACTATACAATGGCAAGCTGGGCCACTGGCTGGCTGTGAGGATTGGAAATGAACTGGAGAAAGGCTTAATCCCTAACAAAAGCAGGTATCTAAGACTATATACCTATAGGGCCCTTTTAATACCCCAACAAAAAGCAACAGAACTCCCCAAAGGAATCCCATATGACTTCATTTGACAGGGTTTGTTGTTTATGGGGACCAGGCTGCAACTGCTGGAGTGTAAGCATCAGACGCTTGGTTGTTGCATGAGGCTTATTTGAGGATTGCTTGAGGAGTGCTGGCTGTTTTGCACATAGGAACACTGTGTGGCTATAGTACCCCAGCATGCCTCTGGTCTCTATCCTCAGGAGACACTTATACACCCCAGTGAACACTTGCTGGTGGGTGGCAGTGTGGAAGAAGACCTGTTTTTAGCAGGTGTTCCAGGCATGTTTACTGCATTTATGTGTCCCAAAGGAGCCAAATGCGGTATGTTCTGAGCTACTTCTGGTGAATTTCAGAGACCCTGACCATATTAGTTACTTTGTTCATTGCTATAACAAAGTACCTGACAGAAGCAATGCAAGGAAGGAAGGTTTTGTTTTGACTTAAGGTTTAAGAGCAGAGCAGTCCATAGCAGGGAAGGTTTGGCGGCAGCAGTGTGAGGTAGATGGACACATTGCATTTGTAGTTAGGAGACAGAGAGATGAATGCTGTGCTCAGCTTGCTTTCTCCTTTGTATTTAGTCTGGACCCCATCCCATGGGAAGGTGCCACCCAGATTCAGGGTGATAGGGTGATCTTCTCAG